GTGACTGGAGTTCAGACGTGTTCTCTTTTGATTTAAAAATTAATTGAAATATGTCCATTTTTACTAGAGTTACAGTAATAAATATGGATGGGGTCTCCGGGACCTCATTGTGTATACGATGTCGTCAAAAAAACAGTGTATATCTAGGGTTAAGATGTACCGCGTGTCTCGACTTTGGACTTTATCTGAGTTGAATGCAGAGTGTGTTTAGAGGAACTTGCAATAAATGTTGTGTGTTTTCCAGAGTATTATCATAAGATGGGAGCCTCCGCTTGAGGGACAGAACGGGATCATCACGGGTTATAGAATACGCTATCGCAGATATCCGCACGATCCCCGATCCGGGGACAGGCGGTCCCCGATCACGGTGACAACTGAGGGAAATCAACGTTTGTACGTGCTTACCGGGCTCGAAAAGCACGTTGTGTATCAAGTCCGCATATGTGCCTTTAACGTCAATGGAACTGGGCCTTGGACAGAATGGACGAAAATAGAGACGTACGAGAACGATTTGGACGAGACGAAAGTACCTAACGCACCCAGTAATGTGAGAGGTGGGAGAATCAATTGCGCGAAACAAAAAAAAAAATAGTATTTCAATTGTTGACCTGTTACAAACCATTCTTTCCTGTTGTTACAGTGAATGCTATGGCGGATTATATACAGGTATCGTGGCATCCCCCGAAGGATCAGAGCATCAAAATAAGAAAGTATAAGTTAGGCTGGGGCAAGGGATATCCCGATGTCGAGATACAGGTTCTTGACGGAAAGCAACGATCTTACACTATTAAGCCTATAGGTAAAAAGGAATAATGCGACTGTTGAAACCGACTTTGACTTTCGAAATATTTTCAATTTAATTTTTATTAATCTCTTGTTTTCTGCCCCTTTGTTTGCGATATCAGAACCAACAACGGAGTACGTAATATCTTTAAGAGCAACGAACAATGTTGGCGATGGTCAACCAGCGTATGCAAATGTAAGGACTTCCGAGCGTATTGTACTTGAATCCGCAGTGCCTTTAATACCACCCGTTGGCCTTAAAGCTATCGTGCTCTCGGCTTCTACCGTTGTACTGTACTGGACAGACACGACCTTATCGAAAAGTCAAGTACGTTTTATGTTACATACATAAAATAATCGCAATGCATTATAAAACCTCGTAAGATGACGTATGTGAAGGAAAGGTCAGGCAGAAATATCTGTAGTGAGACATTTTATTTTTAGTATATCACCGATAGTCGATACTACGTGGTGCGTTATACGTTCTACCATCACAGCAGCAGCCCGAGATACAAATACTATAACGCCACTGACCTCAACTGTATGATTCACGACTTAAAGCCCAACACTCAGTACGAGTTTACGGTTAAACTGGTCAAGGTACGAGAGACACATGGATTACACACAAAGTGTTTAAGGGGTCATGCCCCTGAGATTTTAAAATATCTTAAGTTTGGGAATTTTTTGTGGATAAATGGATAATTTTATTTAAAATCTGCTTGGAGGACATTATTATACATATATAAGAAACCAAAAAAATTATTTTTATTTTTTTTTATGTCCAAAATGGCGGCGCACTGGTCTACACTTGCGGAATCCCTTTTTTTCTATCGGTGTACAGGATTCCAGGCATACGGTTTAATCTTGAACAAAACACAAAGAATTTTTATTATCTACACATTAAAGACTAGAGAAGTACATAGGAATTTTTCAAAATGTTGATTTTTCTCAAAATGGCAGCTATTTTACGAAAGACTTATATTGATAAAAATACGAACTTTTGTAAAAATAGCTGCCATTTCGAGAAAAATCAATATTTAAAAAAATCCCTACGTACTTCTATAGTCTTTAATATGTAGATAATGAAAATTCTTTGTGTTTTGTTTAAAGTTAAACCGTGTGCCTGGAATCCTGTAATCGATTTCAAAAAACAGAAAAAGGGATTTCGCAAGTAAGCTAATGCGTCGTCATTTTGTACATAAAAAAATAAAAATGTTTTTAGTTTCTTATATATGTACAACAATATCCTATAAAACAGCTTTTAAATAAAGTTATCTATTTACCCACAAAAAATCTCAAACTTAGGAATCATTTTGAGGCCTCAGGGGTGGTATGACCCCTTAAGGGAGCGTTTGAGATAAACGAATAGGTCCTACAGCGTGTTATTTCCATAGGGTAAACGAAGCTCGCCGTGGAGTATGGTCGTTCTAAATCAAACGCAAGAGGCTGCTCCTAGTTCGGCCCCTCGGGATCTGACCATTCAAACCGTCGAGGATCGTCCGACTTCCGTTCTGCTGCGATGGCAGCCCCCTAAGCAGCCCAACGGACAAATCACAGGTTTGGTGATTCTTCTTAAGTTGAAAAAACTGGAATACGTTACGAATACGTGCGCTAAGCCGTGATCGATATCTTTTTAGGATATCTCGTAATTTATTCCACCGACAACACGAAATGGGATCGCGATTGGCTGGTCGAGGGTGTCATCGGCGACAAGGTGGACGCTATCGTGAAGAGTCTGCAGCCTAACACAATGTATTACTTCAAGATGCAAGCCCGTAATTCCAAGGGATATGGGCCGTTCTCTACGACAGTCTCATTTAAAACGCCACAAAGTAAATAATTCGATTTTCATTTGTGTCGCATTGATGTCGGTTGATATTAAATTTAATTATATGTTTATATGATAATATACACATACAGGAAAATGCCTGTATCAATTTAACTGTACACGAATGCTTAGCATTATTTGGCATACATGTTATTTCCGCTTTATGTTGCACCTGATTGCACTCCGTCCGTTGTCCGTTCACGAATCAGTGTGTTAATTATTGTGTTTATTTTTTATTTCTATGGTAGGCAATGGCATGGATGATGAATTGCATGGTCGAGGTAAGACATCGTCCCAACCTTTCTATTCCTCTGTTATCCTAATTATTGCATGTATTTAAGCATGTCTTTGTTTAAAATTTATAATTTTTTAATCTCAATATAAAATAAGAAATAATCTGCTTTTTATAAATAAAAACTGGGATAAGATGATTTATAAATTTTTATTATGTAGTAAAACAATTATAATCTTATAATATTTTTATCTCAATATAAAGTAAGAAATAATCTGCTTTCTATAATTAAAACTGGGATAAGACTGTTTATAAATTTTAATTATATAGTAAAACAATTATTTTTCCAGATGGACGAAGCTTCTCCAATCTATTGATTTACATCATAGTCGGTCTCTCGATCGTCTTTATCACTGCCATATCGGTGGTGGTCGTAGTGTGCTGTAAACGTAATCCAAGCTCTCCAGATCGAAAGAAAGGGTAATGTCTTATAAAATAAATAGAATTACATGACAATGCTTCTAATTGTAAGACATAATGTGTCAATAATACATGCTTTTATGACTTTCAGATATATGAAAGATACGAATCAGAAGACGAATATCAAGCCGCCAGATTTGTGGATTCATCACGATCAAATGGAGCTGAAAGCGCTTGAGAAATCATCTCTGAACGGTGAAGCTTCCACTAGCGGCGTCACCAGTAATACATTACCTAGGTCTGGAAATCCAGACTATAATCCAGATAATATACACGGGAATTCCAGTTCGCTGGATAAGCGTACTTACGTGCCAAGTTATATGGGTAAGTCGTGATGATTTCACGGGAAATTCACTGCTGCACTATCAAACGTCAGAGGATCGAACGTTCACAGGGAATTCCAATCACGCAAAGCTAACAGAAGTCCCGTTTGGTTGATTTGCACAAGCCAGAATAGCATAGTTCCTTTGTTGCAACACCGTTTTTTGATAATTTTACTTTTGAATTGAGTATTTCAATTTCACGCACTTTATGCACTCGAGAGAAAAGAACAGAGGGGGAGAGATTTCATACGTTTGATTTGCAATTTTCCTGATTTTAACATATTAAGGTAAAGGTTTGGTTTTGTTATTTGGTTGCCTTTTACTTATTTCCTATTAGGTAACACCGACGAGAAGTGCTCGACCCTGAGCAGACAGCACAGTCGTGGAAGCCACAAACCTAAATTAATTACACTCCCCGACAGTACACCTTTGCATCAGCGTAAGTAGTAGTAGGGTTGTCACTCGTACTGGCGCACAATACCTGTAGTGATGTAGTAGTACAGTCCTTTTATATTGCGAGAGCGGTCGAATCATTTATATCCATTTTTAATATAGATTAACTTAATCTTGATTCCACATTTATCCTTTTTCTAATTCTAGAACCAAAAAAGATGAAGAGTAAGTTGAACGGAGATTAAAGTCGAGAGATTAATCGACATTGAAGGAAACGGGTATTAAAGTATACATACATATATACAGGGTTAGGTGTATATACACACGCGCGCACGCGCGCGCACACACACACA